GTGAATGAATCATGGAGAGATTGACTGTCCCCGCTTGCACACTGGAATCCCCTTCGACCTCTGGCATTAGTTTACGACACTTACCGTTATTACATTTCCATCGATAAAAGGATTTGTTTCAGAGAATCGTACAAAAATGCTTTAAAACACAATTTTACCGCAGTCAAAAGGTGAAATGATTGGCGATCTGGTGCAAAAAACAAGGTGATCTGGTGTAATAATTTTCTGTTTCAAACTTTTTTTTTTTTCAAAAGGCCGACGTTTTCCCCTTCCTTTTGCCCCATTTCCCCCGCTTTGATAAAAACATAGTTTCTCCGAATTTAACCCCAAAAGTTTTTTGTAAAGGTCAGTCGACCACAAATTTACGTTGCCGATGTGTTCAGAATTTACCTGTCCCCATTAATGCTTTAACAAGAAAACGTAGCTGTGACCTTGGGTGCTGCCCAGTAATACACGCAGAATGATGGCTTTTTGTAATATAATTAAACGAAAATGAATTTAAACGATACATTATGACCAATTTAACACTGTAGTGTTGACGTTTTTTATTCATTATCAACAGTTATTTTTGCCGGTAACCTTATATTATTTCGTATTATTGTTTATTAAAATAACTCCTTGCTAATTTTGCTGAACATCACCAATTTGTGTCATTTTTTGTACGTCTTTACTGTGCAGCTGCTACAGCGAACAAAAATGCTTACCGTCGAGAGCTCGCCAGTGTGTGTGTGTGTGTGTGTGTGTGTGTGTGTGTGTGTGTGTGTGTGTGTCTGTTCGGAAGCAAGTGAACTTTGTCACCTACTTTCATCTCAGCAACCAGGGAAGCTGGGTGGCTGAAATTTTGGGGTCATATTCCTACCTCATGTGCCACCTTCCCTTCGCTCATATGCCCCTGTCAAATACGAACCCTCGAAAAAAATATGCAAATGTCTTTCGTGGAAACGATTTCGTGAACCAGACACGGTAGAAGGCTAAAATTTACAGGGATATTCTCCGTGTGTGTACGAGTTAAGGGTTTCAAATTTAGCAATTGCAAAAGCAAATACCGCGAGTGTGGTCATGTCAAAGTTCGCAGTTGGCACTATGCTAACTCAAAAACGAGTAAGAAAACAGCAGCTAAAATTCTGTTGTAGTATTTATCGTTCATATTGGAAATAGTATACCTAAACTGAGTTTCGATTTTCATTTGCGTTACGACTTAGGACATTACAAGATATTGGTAGAGAAGTGGCTGTTTCGCGCATCAGACAAGTTGCGAAGCTGAAACTTTGCAATATATCCACGTATGGTCTTGAGTCAGTTTGGGGGTGCAGTTCCCTTCACGCAAATATGACAAATACTCAATTTTATCGCCAACTCAAAAACGAGTGCATTTTACAGATTTAATAATCCTCTTCTGACTTCCTTCAAATTCGCAGTTTTTCAATGAACAGGCATTCACCAGAAAAACGACCGGGCTTCATTCAAAAAATTAATAATCATGTACTCTGAAGGTGCGTGGTCCCATAATGCAACACCATCATCCCGGTCAACATCTTTTCCCCTGTATTTGGGGAAAGGCCAAAACACAGCTAGTATGAATCTAAGTGTTAACATCCCGCTGTTCATGGTCTGTAAGATTGGCGCAGAAACGCATAATCGCATGCCTGGTGCATTGCAGCCCGGGTATTGTTATTTTATGATGCATTGTTGCTTATTAATATTTCTGAATTGTTATCATTATTGCTATTACTATTATGTTGCTAATACCTGTTTTATTATTATGTATTAGTATGGCCCTATTTGTATTTATTATTCCTGTTTACAATATTCATTTCATGTATCTCTTAATTATATGTGGGTTTTATTATCATACATGATTGTATGTACATTCACTTTTTGCTCAATAATTATTGATTCTTAACAGTATTAGTTAATGATGCACTCATTATATAAGTGATTATGGCCTCAGTTTTTCTAGGGATATTTTTGGCAAACGAATAAGAGGAAGAAATGTTAACTCATTTTGACAATGAGTTACAGAAATGAAATACTTGTTGAAATCTACTGAAAATTAAATCACTTGTTAAACTACCGTTAGGAATTTGAACATGTACGAAGAGGGGTGCGCAAATTTTACAGAAGTGCGAGGTGTTAAAAAACAACATACGATTAGCGGTGTTCTGCGAGGCAAAGTTGGGGGAATTCAGATGAAAAACGTTTTTTTTCAAATCTTTTGAAATGAACTTCTTT